AAAATAACTTAAAAAAAAACCAGTTCTATTGTCATTGCTAATTTCCACAAAAAAAACTCCTGTAAGGCTAGTAACTGAATAGACTGAATAGAGGTGATGGTTGCTTTTAGGTGAGTCGCTTTTCAAGGTTGTATCGTGGTCGTTGTGTAGAGTTGGGTTTGTGTTAGTCAGAGGTCGGTTTGTAGGGGTTATTTGTGTAGGTCCTTAATTTTGTGTACCCGTCGTTTTTAAGGTCTTAGTTGTGTAGGGATCTTTTTTTTAAAGTATCTTATTATGAACGTCTGATTGACAAATTTATTGCTTATACCTGCGCCAAATGCAAAAAAGAAGTCTTTCTCAGGATGATTCCTCAGTAATCCGACCACCCTTCGAGCCATGCGAATATTCCGTTGATAAATAAGCTCGCTCTTGAAGTATTTGTCAATGGCTTTAGCTTTTCTTTGGTCGTTGTGGTCACGTGTGGAGTTGCTACTTAGTGGTGATATCTGTGTCGATTGTGTGCTGAATAAAACTGTTTTAAGATCACCGCAGTTATAATGGTCGATTAAATCGTCCGTCGAGTAGGTCAGGTGGGCCTGTCCTCTGCGAAGTCGTTCTTGGAAGCGAAGTGACTGGTTCAGTGCAAAAATGACCTGAGTAAAAAATGAATGTCATTTGATGGTGTAGATTGCTGTATTTCTTTCGTCTGTCCCTCCCGAGGGAATGTACCTTGGTTAATCGGTAAAAACAAGTTTAAATTATAACAATTGTACACAAAGTACTCAGGGAAGGCTGTGATTACACCCCAAAAGGCCAAAGCTCTCGCCGCTGGATTTTGTAAGGCTTTTCGTCATCTTTTCCAGCATCCACCCACCACAACAATCTATCCTTTTTACCAGACTCGTTATAATATAGCTACCGTCAAAACTGTACTTATTACCGGATTTCTAGATAATTTTTAAATAAGACTTAAAAGCAGGTCAACGAGGTTCAATTTTTAAATATTTTAGTTTTGCGGATGTTTTAAGATCATTTAAGATACGTTAATCAACTAGGGTTCCATCCTGCTAGGGTGTGTTCTAAAGCGTGGATGCGCAAACAAGAGACAGACAATACTTCTATTTACAAGCGTGCGATGTTTGTAACCTCACGAGTCAAGTTGGTTCATTATTRCATGACACGGGACCCATTAAAATACCATAAACACGGTGAGGGAAATTACCATTACAAAGAGAGCCTATGATCCCTTGTTATCAATATCTGTGGATTGAAGTTACCTCGCAAAACATCAAACCAAACAACTTTAACGTCTGTTGMTCTAATTTCGGTTCATTTGTGACAAATAAACTTTTAATTGAAGAAGAATCTTGAGTTAAACTAGTAAAGTTATCATTTCAACTTTGATTAATACCGGGACAATGCAACAAATTCCCGCCCTCTCAGGCAAAACAGAGTTTTAAACCATTAAATTGATTCGTTAATAGATTCTTAAATGTTGCTAATTCAAAAATAAACATAGCTAGTTATCAGAATTCCTCTRAAGGGTTTTGACAGTTCATCAATTAAGACCGAAACGGGGGTGCAGGCTACAAACCATGTTTGTTTGCATATCTAATTAAATTTGTCACCTTAATTGAATATCAYTGATGTTAAGTATATTTGATTAAATAACATCACACATGGTTTCATTTTCAAGAACATTACTCTAGAAGCTCTCTCATAGCTCCAGATATCTCGTTATGTTGAAGCAATCAAGCCCCAAGGGTTGCTCATTGTTTAAACCACTTACWACCAGTCGTGTTTTTGTGTAATGAAAGAGTTTGTTGACATAAAAGTCGTCACAAATCCAATTTGTTCACTAAGTGATAATTTCATTAGTGTTACAGCCAGCATGGTGTTTTGTTTTAATGTTTTATTGTTATTGGATCCAATGGAGTTCTCTGCAGTATCTAGACTTGTTTTCATTTTGCCACTTGAATTGTTAACTTAACCACGCAGCCTTCTCACTTACGYTCGCTTTTGTAGCACGTGTCTTGGACATAAAAAAGCACTTCTACTTTACTTATACAAATTGTTTTGAAACTAAAGCAACCAGCTCAGTACTAGAAGCCTAAAATATTAAGGTCATCTTAGCGTCAAACACGCTCAACTTGAAACGTAATCTATGCCTGTATGTTAAGTTTATCGGAATTTCCGTTTAAATTGACCTTGAATATCAAATCAGTAGAATCAAACATAAAGCATGGAGTTCTAGAGCGTTTATGTCCAATGTTTATTCATCAATTGAAATCCCATTAGTGGGTCGAAAACCGCGGCCAGAGTTTATAGAACAAATTAGTTTAGAATTAGGGAATGATACAACGAGTTTTCCATCTGTTTAAAACAGTTTGCTTCGTTGCGCATTGAAATTCGTCTATACAATAGGAATATTGACCGTATGTACTTTCAAGGACTTCTATGAATAGCGCCCATAAAAGAGCATCTTATAAAGTTCTGGTTCAATAAATGATTGAGAGCCAATATGAGGTTGATAAGTGTTTTACAGAGCCTTAAGGTTGCCCTAATCCGCCAAAATTCCTCTAAATCTAAACTAAACTCTTTAACACTATAAATTCTTACCTGAGACGAGTTGAGCGAGTTTAACGGATTGCACTGCTCGTGGACTTCTTCGACTGCGCGAACGAGCTTCTCATTTCTTGAGGCCTGAAGCGCTAAATACTGATCAAGAACTGGAATTCCGCGATTTTTGATATCGCTCTCAGACAGCGAGTTCAACATCAACATAACCCATATGGGTCGTTTTCTTTGCCAGTCTTTGGTCAACAGTTCGTATAGCTTGTTCGCATATGGTTTAGCTGCTCGAACTCCAGTAAATCGACTGTCTTTACTTTGCAGCCAGCGAGGAAGCTTTTTTTTGATATATCTCAAGTGAGATTTCAAGCGTTTGAACATTTTGTGAGGAATGGTTTGTTGTAGCCGTCTTCCCTTCGGCAACAACTGACATTTCATGAGAGCTCTCATTGTATTTGGGTCTGTGAGATCAAGTTCGAAATACACATTTTGGCTGTTTTGAAAAGCCTCCTTGCTGTTCTGGGGTATGTAGTCCCAAACTCTAGTGTATGGAACGTGAATTGTTCCAAAGAAATATGCCGGGGGTGATCGCTTGACCATCCACAGAAACGAATTGAGGTTCTTCACCGACTGCAACAGAGAAACCACAAATTATATTGTAATACCGACTCTACGTTAGCTTTGTCTCGCTTACCATTGTATCTGAACACTTCTCCGAAGTGGTTCTTTCTTGGCATAGACATATCGTTACTTTCTGTGGACATATTATAATGGTTCAGTACATGTTGTTTTAGTTAGTTCTATTAAAAGTGATACATACTGTTAAGACAAGCAGACATAGTAGAGAAACCCAAGCCATACGTCCATCGGTTCGTAAGACCAGAGAATTAAACTCAAACTTGTTATGATCTCTATCCTCGTTCGCTCCATCTGCGAACTGTAGTCATGTTTTAGAGAAGACCTTCTTATCGTGTCACCTTGGATTGATTATGACTTCTTTAAGAGTGTATGAGACGAAACGTGATTGGTTGGAAGTGTTGAGTAATTGGCACTATAATCTCAAGGGTTAGTACAAAAGAAACCCTTAACCRAAGGCCTACTATGCATCAAAACGCGCTTTACCAGGCGTTCGGTAGACGGTGTTTTATTCCACGTTGTCTTCTACCTCCTACTAACATTGCAACTTCGTGTGAGCGCTGAGCTGATGGGGTCGCCGTGGTTGACTGGTCAATCGTCGGTCCCATGAGTGAATCACATCACACGTACCGCAACATGATCCTTACTGTGACGAACAATCTAACGTGCTAATGACTAGAGCCGATTTACTTCCATATCATCGTGTTTATGTTATTTATTGGGAGTACCCCGATTGTAACGTCGAGTAAACTTTCTGTAATCTCATCATGTTCAGTATTTGTTCATGATTTGCTAGTCAAATAGCTCATGTCTAGAGCAACGCAGGGATTATACTTAAGCTCTCTTCAAAGACTTTTCACTTATAAAGTTATTTGCGAAGATTAATGGTTGTTAACGTTGAGATGGCTTTATTCGTCGAACCAGTCTCTAAGATATATCTAGTCCGTTATTAAACTAATTATAGCATTTAACATCAACCGCAATCAACATCCACCTAAACATCCTTAAAAGAGCATTTCACCGCTCTGTCAAGAACTATAGAACAGAACAAACCGCATGGCGGTTCAAAGAATACTCTTTTCAAAGCCGTAACGAAAAAGACCATCCATCTTGCCGACATAACACAGGACACGGTTGAATAAAGGACTTCGTGTTGGCGAATTTTCGCAAAGCCTTTTTTGTACTTACCGATCATCAGTCATACAATAATCATAACAAAAAGAGTATTTATATTCTACTAGMAGCTTACTTGCTACTAAAGGAAAGGAAAAGTTTAATCGAAAATGAACTGCGCCGTGAATAAGACGGTCGATTTTGCTATGCCGAAAAAGAGATRGAAAAAGACAAGCGACATTTTTTGTTTACCACATTTTTTGTTGTTTACTGCTCTTTCCTGACTTTATGATAAGACAAAAGAGTTATTTTGGCGTCAGTTTGTTTAAACAAATAATATCAGAGATGAATATTTATAACGAGAAATGGATTGATTACATGTTTTCGGAAGTTGGGCGTAATGCGCGTTCAGTAAACAGAAGAACACTAATGCGGTCTTCAAATTTGTTTATAAAGATTCCGTGGACTCGTAGATATAATGATACAATCTCTCTCTATAATATGTGAATATATATATTTCTTTTTTCTGTTTAAAGTGCTCAGGTTAAATTGGTCCCAAATTGTTCAAATACGTCCATTTTATCGAGAACACGTTTTGCTGATGAATCTCGCCGTTCGATAACAAACTTCAAAGGTTCACCGTTGACTCTTACGGATCATGATTATCTTATTAGCCTTGTAAACGAAGATTGTGCCGAAAACAGGGGCCTTGATGTCTGATAACTTGATTACCTCTAACTACAAACATACATCGCTATTTGACATGAGGAGCTGTCGGTCGCTTGTGCCTTGAGGTAAGGCACTAAACCCGTGCATGATAGGGAGAGGCAGACAAACACACCCATTGATCGCTCACACTATTACATTATGTTGCAATTAGATTCTGTCGGTTGGAGAGGTTGAAGACACCAAAATTGACTTGCAAAATGAGARGGAAAGAATGATTCTTCAAAGACCCGTGAACAAAGTAGAGCATACAACACATGAAAACGTGCAAAAGYAAGAAAGCACAAGAGTGTGTAGAAGCCTTCAGTGTTTATTTCCATGGTCTTATGAAAAAACCTGCGCGAAAMAAAATGTAACAGTCAAAATGTAGAAAATGCAATACATACAAAACATAGTACTAACTATGTTTATAAAATTTTTGATATATAACGCGCGCTCTGATTTGCTGACGACCRTGTTTATATCAGAGGACAGAGACACGGCTTACCGGCAAAATTTTCTTTTCGCTCGAAAAATGTTATAAAAGAAATATAAAACGGCCGCTTATGTCTCTGTCCTCTGATATAAACATGGTGGGAGTTGAAAAACACTCAAGAGGCAAAAAAACACTCAGAGGACAAAACAGAGACACGCGCGTCGTTTTATATTTCTTAAAGAAAACTGAGAAATAAAAATGGATTTTATGAAAATTACTACATATGAATAATCAAATATGGACACTTTTAAGCAATGCAGTGTTTGTTACCGGATCGACAACATTCACGATCATGATTGTTCATGATTAGGATGTGTCAGTCTGATCCGTATTTCATACTAGTTAAATTATCAAAACTACTGAGCCACTCCCAGAGGTAAACGTAGGGAACATGCCGGGGAGCGCGCGAATTGGGACCAGGGGAACATTATTGCTATAGAACATGGGGTAAAAACGTGTACAAATATATATTAGGGAACAATGGAGAAATTTAATGTAAAATCGGGAATCAAAAGAGCACATATTGCCATGCAAAGTGCTCACCACACACTAGAATCCTGTTTTTATTTAACCTATGACTATCTTGTATTAGTATTTGTTATAAAACAGAAAATTATGTCATGGATAACAGTGAGCTTATAAACCTTTCACGACCAAATGAAAACCACTTTAATAATAATTATTCGCCTTTTCACGGTTCCTTTCTTGTTCAAAAATAGTCATTAGGATTTCTATAAGCAACAYAGAATGTGTCACGTCCATTTTGTCTCGTCCCCTCTCAATCGTGTATTTAATGACCGCAAAATGATTCAAACCACAAGCGAACATGATCGATCATCGCCACAACAATTAGTATTATGATCTTGTCGATCGTTATTATACCATTATACTGGAGTTAAGTGTAAACAATAAAATAAAAGCGAATAAACACTGCTCATGTTATGTTNTTAAAATAGTCTGGAAACCCAAAGATAGCCCAAATACCACACATGTTGACAAACCCTAACAAACAGGAAACAATTTTTATACCGTTAAATAGCAACAAACAAACAAACCCAAGCATACTACATTACTTGTACGTACTCTGCAATACTCGCGAGACTAACTTTAATAATAAGTTATTTCTTCATACCTTTTACGGTGTAAAAAATTRTCTTATTTCAAAAATGAAATTTCTTGAGAAATATTGACGCTCACACCTGTTTACCGATAGCTCCATCATTTTAACTAATWTAGAAAGATCGGAACTTGGAGATTATAGGGTGACTTTGAAAAAAATTAACAGAATATTAAATTGAAAAAATGTACCACAGAGCTCATCATGATCAGCTAAAACATTGTATTGCTGTAGTATCATCAACAAACCTACGATCGCAGTCTGTCGAACCTTCGCTGGCAAATTTGGCTACAAAACTTGTTTCGCTATCAATCCAAATTTTCCAACTTTCTTCAAAATGACTAAGCACGATGTACTCCAAGTAAATTTCCGCGAAAATTGTCTCTTAGACCAGCCTTAGACATTATATTTTCCCGGGTATTTCTCGGTACGCCATTTTGAGAGCCCGCAATTTTTTCTCAGCGACTATTTTTAAACCGGAAGTTTACATGAAAGTGAGTACTCTTCGATTGCTTCTGCAATCTCCTAGTTAAAAAGGATGTGATATCAATCATCTGGTTAGACCTTTTTACCAATATGGCCGCCGGAACTAAATGCAAGAAATATCTATAACTAATTGGGATTTTAGGATGCTATGAGATCGGATAATATTTTTTTTATGAAAAACTCTTAAAAACAGAACACATTTGAATGTTTTGAATCATTAACTTGAATTTTGAAACCCGAGATTATCAATGAAAGAAATTTTTGGTACTGTTCAAAAATTCAAGATGGTGTCCGCATTATTTAAAAAGTCCACTGGTATAGTTTCCTTTCATTGTAACTTTCCTTGAATGACAAAATATACTCAATGGCTCCGTTCAACCATGTAAACTTCTGAAAACAATGACAGTTAAGGTATGAGAACTGGCAAAGTGTTCAAAAACAATACCCAACTTTTTTAGCGTTTTAGGCATAACGATTTAATTTTGGCG